AGACCCTAACCCTGTAATGAGAGTAGACCCTAACCCTATAATGAGAGTAGACCCTAACCCTAACTCTAACCCTAACTGAACCGAGTCACGCTACTGTTGGACTTTCACCACAGAAATATTTAAACGTCTGTTAGATGACGGTCATGTTCCCCTCAGAATGAAATGGATGCAACTCCCTGACTGTACTGAAACTGAAGCTGATTATGGGTCAGGGTAGGTTTCTGTACGCGCTGCAGCACAACTCTGATCGTTTTCTCAGCACTCCTTATGCTGCCGCTTGTATGCCTCACTGTAAATGTGTCCAGTCATTCAGCCACTTTGGCACATCAGACCATGAAATTAATGAATCTTTAAACCCTTAATGGTTCCGGTCCACATCACGTCCGATCACCATTCTGGTTTACAGGCGCAGACATTAATAATTAGGACAATGAGCAGGCTGGCTGTCGTGCATTTTGAATCTGAGTAGCAGAGCATCTCTCTCTGTGTAGGTGTTTATCGTGCAGCTTTATTTGTGACATTTAAGAGTTCTAACGAAGCAGAACCTTCAGCCTCACACCCCAGCGCTGCCGCAGGCTTGGAAACATCAAGCTATTCTGCTGGGACCAGCTGCAACATACATAATACATCGTCTCTCAGAGCAGTTAGCTCATTAACAGCAACATATAGTTAGCTAATTAGCAGTATGCCAGAGATGGATCGTTCAACCCCCAGAAGACACCAAACCCTGAAAGTCAGAGTGAAGGATCTGAAGTGGCAGTCAGAGAGATAATGGATGGTTCATGATAAAGGAGGAGGGCAAGTTCAAAGAGAGACAAAAAGAGCGACGTGTCAAAGGGATGAATACGTGATTTAATCTGAGCTCCTTCGGAATACCAATTCATTACTCTGCATGTTTCCTGGCGTGTGCGTGCACCTTAATGCGCCGCCAGAATCAAACTGTTTGTAAAGACGATCCGGCTCACCGCTTTTGTCACCGCTTTCATTTTTGGAGCGAGCTAAAGCAAACCATTGTGCGTAATGAAAAAGAGCCGTCTTGAATTCACAAAACGAGCAAAGGACCAATCAAGTGTCCCCCTCAAACAAGTCAAAACCCAGGGCCGATCTGATTAGTGCTGAAAGATGAGAGAGCGGACATGAAGCAGGGCCTGTGACAAGAGTGAAAGGAGGAGGATGAAGAGAATAAAAGATGTGGACGACAAGGGGATTAAGGAGCAGTCTGATAGTTGGCATCTCAAGCTCCATCATTAGCTCATCTATTAAATCAGAACATAAACTAAATGAGCCCGATGCTCATGTGCACCCAGCTTGACATTTACTGCTCAGACCTGAGAACGATCACGAAAAAGAACTGAAAAAAAGTAAAAAAAACAAAGCTGAAAGTAGTTGTTAAAAAATGTTTTCCTGCGACTCCATCAACAGTCAGGATGGATGTTTTGTGTCAGGACACTGATCAGCACGGGCAGAATCAGCCAGCGAACCCGAACTCCGACTGAAAGATCATTTGGCAGCGCTGCTGGATTCCCTTCGTCCTGACTGCGGTCACACAGGACGGGTCACCGCGACCTGCGACCTCCTCGCTACTGTTTGCTTTGCAGCAACCGCATGATAGCAAACAAATACAAGTGTAGCCTCTCTGGGATAAGAATGATTTTTTTATCTCACTGACACAGAAAGTGGAGAGGAGTGGAAAGAAAGAGAGAGGGGAAGAGAAAAAAGGTCTTGAAGGGAAGAGATGTGAGTAATTCCTTCAGCCTGCTGCTCCTCGTGGGGAATTCAGGAGCCAGAAATTGTTCAATAATATATTGATTTTCTTATTGAGCTTTTCTCTCGTGGAGGATTTGATGTAAATGATTATCTGAGCGTTTGTTGCTTAACTAGAGCAGCACCAATGTGCTTGAATATCTGTCTCCACACCGATGGTCTCACAATACAAGTACTGTGTAACGTAGTTAATCATGTGTAGGGTGACTCTGTCCTCACTAAACAGGTCGTGACTATGTTTTAACGAGGAGACCAAAGCAGATGTTTAACGGCGTCTTGGTGATTGCTGCTGATGTTCCCTGAAAGTGGGATGTTATCATGGCGGTGTGGGAGCACCGTGAGGTACCAACATGTGCTCTGCTGGGCTTCGTGAATGTGTCAGGCTGTTAGATGGTTACACAACCATGCAGACGCTCGGTGAACTAGATCACCCGTCTGTAACGTGGCTCCCATACCAAGCACCGACAACAGCCGGTGACGGTTAGAGGCAACGTTTGACTTTGTCCTGATGGAGGGAAGATGATCACAGCGAGCATCACTTCTTGTGTATTCACTCCACTGGTGTTGATGCAGGATTGACTACCTTGAGGTTGACGCTTGTGTTTGAGCGCCATGTCTTGGATGAATTCCCGTTAACTTTGACTGAGAAGGTTTATATGGTAAACAGCTACCCGGAAAACGTGACGCATTGTTTTTATGTTCACGTTAGCATGCTGATGTTTGGTTAAATCACTGCTACACTCGTGAACTGTGAAGGTTTCTGGACACTAGTTAAAACCACATCATCATATCATGGCGGTCTTGAGTTTCCAGTGACTCTATGAAGGAATCATTGAAACCGTCTTTGTAACCAGAAAACAACCATGGGTTTTGTTCCTTTATAGATTTCATAGATCTAGACATTTTATACATATTATAGTTCTTGAAAATGACAAAATCTGCTGGGTCAAAAATATCTGTACAGAAATGTTAATATTTGGTTAAACATCCTTCGACCGTTTTTACCTCAACGAGGCCTTTTTGGTAGCCGTCTGCAAGCTTCTGGCAAACTCCTGCTTGTGTCTTTGACCACTACTCTGGACAGAATTGGTAGAGTTAAACTAAACTTGTTGATGTTGTCGGGGTTAAAAGCCTCCCCTTCTCTCCTTCAAACATATTTCTGGTCATTGTGGAGGAGTCACCAGCTGAAGAGGCCACACCACTAACAAACGTCTACACCAGAACAGATCATTCAAGTTGCTTTAATGGAAACTCAAGACTGCCGTGATATACATGGTCTCTGCAAGTGTTTGGAAACTTTTGTTCACAAAGTGTTTTGTACAGACGGACATTTGGCCATTAGAGTTGTATCCTGTTGTTTGGACAAGGATGTCTAAAGGTTCTGCTGTGTTTCCGGATGTGTTCCCTCTAGTATGTGTGAACAGTGTACACGTAATGCACTGAGCAATGGTCGTTTCTTTCCCTTTATTCTACCAGCATGGTGAAACGGAACCTGGGTCCGTCCACTCGCTCCATCTATCTGGGTCTGGCATGTCTGTCCCTCGCTCTCCATCTCCTTCTGGCAATTTTTTGCCTCTCAGTCCTCCAGACCACCTGTGTCCTTCCCACCTCCTCCTCTTCCTCCATTCCAAGAACGGATACTCATCATAATGAGTCGGCCTCCCACTCCACCTCTTCATCTACTGCCTCTTCTTCGAATAAACTGCCAGCGAGAACCCACAGTGAAGAGCAGCACAGTCCGACTGCCAACACGTTACATCACAAAGCCCAAGACTCGATCGGTGAGGTCACCGAGAAGGCGAACAAACTGACTGGAGCTGGAAAAGCGATTCAAAACGTCAAGGGTCAGTCTAAGCTGGAGGCGTTGTTCGAGCATCCGCTGTACAACCTACCAGGCCCAGAGCTGCAAACGGATGATTGGCTGCTCAGGGTGAAGACAGATGAAGACGCAAAGGATGTAGGGAGCGAGGAAGGGGAGAGTGAAGAAATCATCACCAGTGACAGTGAGTGGTAAGTGGAACTAATTGGGTAAAATAGATCAATAAAGTCAAAACGAAGCTGTGAAAAACTCCAGCCCAGTCAAAATCAGGTTTTCTATGACTTCAACATGTCCAGTGTTTCTAGAGGACACATTATCTGCATCATTATTATTCTGCAGAATCTGCTCCTGATTCAGACGTGTTGGGCAGAATTCATCCAGTGCTATCTTCTTCATTGTGTGGTGTCGAGTAGTTTTACAGTTTTAGAAAAGGACTTTAAATACCCTCAAGGTTGATCAACAGTGGTTCCTGAAAGATGAGCTCTTTGTGAGGCTGAAGAGTTTTAGAGGTATTCAGCTCCAGTGCTTCACTTCTCTTGTTTGTATCATAATGTGAACATTCAAGGTTCAGCTTGTTTTAGAGACGACATAAAGGTATTTTTTTAACCTTGCTCGTGACCAGGTTCTGTGGATGAAGATGTTCTTCTGTCAGCCAGTCGGTCCGCCACCGGGATTCACACTGAAATATCTATCTGGCGTAGTTCCGTGATGTTTGTGGTGCCCAGAGGAAACTTTTAGTTTTTTGTTTGTTTTGTGGTCACCACCAACCCCTGAACTCTCAACCCTGGTGAACGTCTCACTTGGTACCATTAAAAAGGGAATCTCCAGGACGGAAATATCAAGCCGACACCAAAGTTTAAAAAAACACTGCAGTTCCACTAAAAAAGAAAGTCAAGTGTCTCCCATAGACCTCAGTGCTAAACATGTCTACACCGCTGTGCAAAACTAACTCTGGTCTCTAAAGAAAACTTCTTGTTCATGACAACTGTATGGGGAGTTCATGTCTACAAAAGTCCCTCGTTTAAACTGCATTAAGGCACAAAGTTAGGCATAAATGAAGGCATTCAGGATCCACCTGATGGCTCCTTTTGTACTAGACGGTCTGCATGGTGTCCATTTGGGACAGACAGAATAACAACCAACTGCATATGCAACAGAATGTTCTGTGTAGATTCCTAAGGACTGGAGAAGTGGCATAACACCAACAACATGCACCTCTGCCAGAGTATAATCAAGGCTTCAGTCAGACAAGACTCCAACCATAAGAATGAGCTTCAGCATCACTGTTCAGAAAACCAGTCGCTGCCGTCACAGAGAGCTCATCCACCTACATATACATATAAACCTATGTATACGTATGTGGATGAACTCCGTGGGGTGCTGTTGACTACTGCTGCTGTATGAATGTAACACAAGTCCATTGTTGTTTTATCACTGAAACAAGCTGCCTGACTTTCAGTTTGACCATCACTGGCCTATCTAATTACTGTCTGACATCCTGTCCTGAAGGCAGAGTGCCAGCGAGGAGGACGGCTACGACAAAGTCAGCTGGACGCGCGACGTGGAGACCCACCCTCCCTGGCTGCGCTTCCACCTGGGCATCTCTCGCTGGGAACTGTACAACAGGAAAGACCCCAACCTGGCCCGGCTGACTCACTATTTGGCAACGCAACGCATCCTCGGGGCTGGTGAGCCAATGAGGGCGGCGGGCGGGGCAGACAGGAGAGGTGGCAGAAACAAAGCAAAGATGAAGAAGATGGAGGATTAATAGCCATTTATCTATTCTCCGGTGGTTATTTCGTATCTTAAACTACATCCTGAAGCGTCAGTCTGGTGGAAAAGTCATCCTGCAGAGTCTTTGTACTGCCCAAACCTGCATCCGTCTGTGTTCATTGGGCTCCACTGATAATACACCAGGAGGAAGCTCAGAACCTGACCTGACTGTGACCCCGATCGTCCTTGTTGTGCTTGAATCTCAAGCATTCAGATTCCTCGGGGAAGTCACAATCACACTCAGTTTAATTCTAATCCATTAATACAAACAGCTCATGTGTGAGAGAGCCAGAGGCAAGACGCAGCGCTCACTGAAGTTCTCACTGAGTGCAAACAGCAAACTGTGCCAAAAGCTCATATTTAGAGGAGTGAACATGACAGTTTTAAGAAAGTCGTCCACACATACAGTTCTGTATGCATATTAGACTTTTAGAGCACTGACTGATCTATGCAAATCACATTTACACAGAATGAAAGATCAAACCCAGGAAGATGCAGCAGACTGTTTCATAACCCGCTAATCCTTTTTGTCACAAAGTGAGAGTGCAAAGGAGGTGAAAGCAAACAGCAAGAACCATAAATTGATTGCTTGGAGGCTGGCGAAGACACCCAGGCCTGCACACGAAATAGAAAAGTGAAATGTCATTAGAATTCTGAACAGCAGGCAAATGTGTAGACGTTCAGAAAAAACAGAAGAAAATCTTGACATTCAGACACTGGAGCATCTCAGACTTCCAGCGAACAGTCTTCTGTAGTGAGGTCATGAGTATAATCCTCCCACGACGGCCCAACACAGACACACGAACACGCTCCGACCCGTGTGCACCGTGTGCCAGAAACCAAATCACCTGCATCTCATTTTGGCGTTTGCTCATCTCAGACAGCCGTCGTCAGCACGCTGCACAATGAATAATGGATACAGATTTGTGTTGTACACTGCAGATTAAGCACTAATCTCAGCTACAGGCTGATTTCCTATTTTTCTCTCACTGTGTCATCCATTTTTTCCCCCATGTTTAACATGCAGCCACGCCACACCGGATGTATATTTAAAACAGGAACTATGAGTGAATACGAGAGGATCTGGTTTGGATCTCAGAACAGAGATGTGTTCTGATTCATGTGCTGGACTTGCTCATGAAAGCATGCAACAAATAAAAGCAGCTTCTGTCTGTCTGGGTTTGAACCACCTCACTTGAAAGAGAATGAGCTCATGCTTTGATTGGACTCATCCCGGCGGTCTGATGTGTGGAAGACGGTTTGTGGGGATTAAAGAACGCAATCCCAAAGTGCACAACAAGGAACCATCAGTGGAGGTAGAAAGGACTCCAAATGACTGGGAAAACTCGCTAATGTTACACTAATCTATCTGTTTATGAGCTGCAGGGCTTCAGATCCTCCAGGTAGCAGAATATAATCATCGACTGTACATCAGCAATGTGTAAAAAGCAGCTACGCAAACAAAAAGTAAATGCTGCAATGAAGCTGACAGAATATTTTCTATGAAGTGTTTCACGCTGGTCCTCCTGCATTCATGGGCAAAATGGAGGTTTCTGCAGCAGCTGGTGATTTAAGGCTGTCGGCCGCCGTGTGGAGGAACAGGCGAAGTGCAGCGTGTTGGAGAAACCAGTGCAGCTCTGACAGGAGCAGCTCCAGCACACGTCTGATGATGTTCAGAGAAGGTAGAGCTGTTCCTACCTGCTGCACTAAAGCAGAGACGTGATAGTTGAGTGTTTTCCTTTTATGCTGCTTCATTCGACCACTGCACCACATTGCAGAGCAGAATCTTATGACAATGAAGATTTTACATAACGATAGAAGAAACCTTCAAAATAAAACGCTCTGTTGGGTTAAAGCTGCATCAACGGCTCCACCAAAGGCGGATTTTTCCCTCTAAACTCCTCAAATGGTTTCATTGCAATAAAATGTCCAAATGATCCAACATGTCCCCAAAAACTAAAGATTAGAGAACGAGTCCAAGACCTGTGAACACATGCATGTAACAGACCTCCGTGTTTTCTGCGTTCCTCTTCCATGAATCATGTACGCCTTCAGATTTATCTGCTTTCTGGCTCCAACTAGCAACACGCTGCTAATTTATTATTAGTAGTAATGTAATGAGGTCACATATATCTTACATCAGTCAGAGGAACCAAGCCTGGACTTTTATTTTGACTTGGTTTGGTGTTAATACCAAAGCAGGCTGTTTCATGTTTCATTACTTTTACTGAAATAAAGGATCTCAACACTTCTAATGCTAAACATTTTGTTGGATTTCATATTTTGTTTTATGAAAATCATAAAGAGCTGCTGTGGAAGCAGTAACTTTGCCGGCTTCGTTGTAACATTAATGCACTGTTTCTGTGTCTTTCAGTGCAGAAGACGGGAGGAACCCAACTGAAGCTGCTCATATCGTTCCCAAATCACGGACAAGCGCTGCTCAAACCCATGAAGTAAGACGCCGCTGTTCATCTGGCACGACGTGTTCTGCTTCAGACTGCTAAACATCTCACACTTCAGAAAACTCCATGTTTTTGTTGCACAGGCAATCCAGAGATGCAGAGACAGATGTGAACCTCTTCTACTTCTCAGACTTTGAAAGACACAATGCGGAGATCGCTGCCTTTCACCTGGACAGGTACAGATGATGAGACATCCCTGACCCAGCAGGCAGCAGGTGTGCTTCTGGGCAGACAGACTGTTCTGATGCCAACAGGTGATTTGTGGAAGAAAAGCTTCATATGGCGTTAGAAAGTGGAGATATTCAGCCATAAATGCAAACTGTACTGCGGCAAAGAGGTCAGACTGTGGATGCAGGTGGCAGCTTCCAGGTGTGCTCAGCATAAAGACAAGTCCACTTGCTCTTGTTGGCGCCTTCTGTCTGCAGCTTTATTTCTGTTCCTTCTCAGATTGCTGGGGTTTAACAGGATCCCTCCGGTAGTCGGTCGACTCATCAACGTCACCGCGGACATCAGAGAGAAAACCACCGACCACAAGGTGTCGCGGACCTTCTTCACTTCCCCTGGTACGTGTTAGTCCATGCATCTGCCACTTCCTAAATCTATGTCTGAAGATCCTCAGTCCTCCAGCTCATGGTTGTTCTCGTAGATTAATGGTAGCAACTGGACTGATTGAGTTCCTTGAAGACGTTCCACCTTCATCCAAGAGGCTTCATCAGCTCTGACTGACTGGTTGGGAGTTCCACATACTGATATCCTGAAGGATTTCAGTTGGGGGTTGTTGCTCCTCCCCCTCGTTATGTGGGTCATTAGTGCTCCTCCTGACACAGTGGGGTTCGTTAGGGTCTTTGTGGCTCGGTGTGGATGTGGGTTCATCTTCCTGGGGAGAGCTCTGAGGACTGAACTGTGAACAGGTGAAGCCTCAGACCTCCACCTCTGATGAGGGATGGTCTTTCCAGGTGGACATAGATGCTTCTTCAGCCCTCTCTCAAACCATCTGTCCTCCCTGCAGGACAACATCTGTACGTTGTTGTCTAGCTGTCCACCTGCATCTTAAGGACAAAGGACACTCATTTGAAGTCCAGTTGCTACGATTAAACCACGAGAATTCCAAAATCTTTCACTTCTAAAATGGCTTTGTGGTCTCTGACTTCCTCCAGCGGGGAACGTGTGCTTCTACGGCCAGTGCGAGTACTACTGTTCCACGGAGCACCCGGTGTGCGGTCGGCCTCACATGTTGGAGGTTTCCTTGGCTGCTATGCTGCCTGACCTCAGCTTGGCTCCCCGCAGGTCCTGGAGGTCACCGTGGAGGAGATCCTACAGCCGCACCAAGCTGGCAGAGTGGGTGCACTGTTTGTATCCGGAGTGGCTCGAACCTTAACCCTGACCCACATTCAGCAGAAACTTCAGAGGGAATAAAGCTTCCATTAGACTGTATTATTATCAGCTGAGTGCTCTGCTTTAAGGTCACATTTGTGGAGCTCTAAGAGGTTGTTTGAACCCAGTTTGAACCCCTGCTCTATTAAATATTCAAATCTAGCCATAAACGACCTTAGTCGCGACATAAATACTCGTTTTGCAATCAGTGCTTCAGCAGCTATTGGCAGGATTTTAGAAACAATTCGTATTTGTGGTATTTTTGAGTATTTGTGCAGTTTCAGGTGTTCCTTCCTTCGAGTGGAGCCTTTAAAGAGAGTGTTTACAGAATCTTAAGTGTTTGCTGGCCTCTAGTGGTCTGACAGGAGAACTGCAACACAATGCTGACTGTGTGGCTGCAGTGGAGGGATGTATGGGTAGTGGAGTTCATTCATCCCAAAGGGAAGCTGCAGGGTTGTAGCAGGCGTGTCACATAAAAGGCTATAACTAAAAGGCTAAACTCTTGACAGCAGCTGCAGCCAGTTCGACGTCGATGTGCATACTTCTGAGCAGATTTCATTCTTTCTTATTTTTTTTTGCAGTCATGTGTAGACTGCATTATCTGCAGCTGTAATGCAGCTTTTTGTTTGTTTCATTTCTGCATCCTGCACAGCGTTCAGACCCAGTCCAGGGTCGGCCTGAGGTCTGCAGGGTTACACCTGAGACCACTTAAAATACCACTGGGCAACACATTGTGCTATTTCAGGGTACTGCTGTGGCTTTATTATTATTTTTATTTATCTGCTGTGGTTCTGTAACTAGCTTGAGTTCATTGAAACTTCCAGGCTGAATTTGAGACTGAGTCAAAGCAAGACGCTCTCCATTTAATCGTAAACGTTAAAGTCAAACACCTCAATCCACCTGAATCACAAAGTGATGTGACAACAAAGGCAACCAGTCTCCACCTGGACCTCCGACAGGTAGAACTGAGAGCAACACCACCCACAATGAGAACAATCAGAGAAGACTGCTGGGCACTAAAACACAAACTTCTGAACAAACCGGCGACACTAAGGTTAAGATCTGTTTTCTGCTCTTCAGTTTGACTGTGTGTCGCTGCTTGTTGTTCCCAGGTGGGAAAAGAACCCCAACTACTGCGACACAGTGAAGCAGACGCCTCCTTACAGCCAAGGAACCCGCCTGGTGGATCTCATAGACATGGTGATACTGGACTTCCTCATGAGTCAGTGAATAAGAGAAACATCTCCCAGCTAAATCCACGCCGGACGCTGTCAGTCACATTTAAAAAAAAAAAAAAGCATTTGATTTATTTTTATAGTCTAATATTTATATTTTTAAATTAGGCAACATGGACAGACATCACTATGAGACATTCGAGAAATTTGGTAATGAGACATTTCTGCTGCACCTGGATCACGGACGGGCGTGAGTACCGAGCATCTCTCCTTCCAGGCGGCGGATTACTTTGTTGTGAGAATATCTTGTTTTTAGTGCTTCTGCTAAAATGCTCTTGATGTTATTTCCCAGGTTTGGGCGTCACTCCCAGGACGAGCCGTCTATTCTTGCTCCTTTGCAACAGTGCTGCAGGTAAAACAGCAAAAGTTCACTTCTTGACTTCCACACCTAAAAACGATGATGTTTCCTTGAGAATAGGTGCAGCAGCTGCGAGGTGTAGCAGACAGTTTCCCACGAAACATTCAGGTGGATGCAATTAAAGAATCCAGATGATTATTCTGTCTTCTTTATTTCCTCGCGGTGCTTCGACCTCTGCAGGATCCGTCGCTCCACCCTCCTCCGGCTGCGTCTCCTGTTGCTCCCTGACTTCCGCCTGAGTGACGTCATGCGGGAATCGTTGGCTCAGGACCCTCTGGCGGCCGTGGCTCCCCTCCTCTCAGAACCACACCTGTCCGCCCTGGACCGACGCCTCGCCGCCGTCCTGCAGGTGGTGCAGATTTGTCAGGAAAAGCACAAAGACGTCATTTACGACGACGTGGAGAGATATGATCAAGACAGTCTGACTGGGGAAACACAAAACAATAAATGATGTGCTGGTTGTACACAAAGAAAGCAGTCGTCTCAGATAGCTGCAAGATTAAATGTGAAACTTGTTCATGACGGCATTTTCCTTCATGTTGAAGTAAAAATCTAAAATGATCAAAAACAAAAAATATGAGTGAGTGCATTAGTATTCACCCCCTTTTATGTAAAGTCTTCTCCAAAAATGTCAAATTAAATTCATCATGACTCATATTTAAAAGCAATAAAAGCATGAAACCTCCCGTGTGTCCTTGAAGGCAGCGACCAGCTAAATGAACGCAGACGTGAGGATCACAGCACAGGAGCTCCGTTCTCTGTGACTGCTCGACTGAGACAAAAAGCAGCTGTAGCGGTAAATAACCGGGGATACAGCGTTAATCAGGGTTTGGCTGAGGACCGCTGATGGCGCGGCATTGTAATCATCTGTAGGGGTTGATTAAAGGATCCAGTTCAAACTGGAATCCCTTTAATTGAGACTGCTACACACCAGAACAATCACAATAAGCTCATTTTACTTGGTGTGACTGGTTCACATGAGTCTATAATATTATATATAACAATATAATATAAAGCGGCTCCTAAATCTGCCAAATATTCAACTTTTTCTTATTAGTTAATTTTTGCCAACTATAGCACAAATGATGTCACCAGCACACACACTGTTTGGCTTTTAGGTCTAAGTTTCATACATTCCACACATTGTAGTACCTACAGGGCAGATGAAGAGCTGCAGCATCAGACAATGCACCCTGGCTCTTATTTCAGGATCAAAACATGTCCCACACTCGCCTCTGTTCTGCCTCCACAGGTTCAGACACAGCGGTCTGAAAGTAAAGCAGGTGAGCTGCAAACCCAGCTCTGCCAAATACTGTGCAGACGATTCAGGAGATAAGAGTTCACAGCAGGTGTTGAGTCAGAGAGCCTCTGAGGACGCAGTTTGTTCTCCATCAGTAGAACGTCTTCTTAGGGGTCGTATGTTAGAGGAGCACATGGGATGTTAGGAGGAGAGATAAAGTCTTTATTTTGCATCAAAAGAAGGATATTAGACATTCCAAACCGACAGAGTCCTAAACATCAGAACCAAGACGATGTCAGTGTCCAGAACCACCGTCAGTGTCACGCCTGCTCACGCAGTGAACACTTTCTAATCACAAATGTTTAGTTTCACAAAGTTCCATCCATCCATCTATCCGTCCATCCATCTGTCCATCCATCCATCCATCTATCTATCTATCTATCCATCCATCTATCCTGGGAAACTGGGTTCGGGTCAGGCCTGACTGTAACTGGGTTCGGGTTCGGGTTCGGGTCAGGCCTGACTGTGTATTCATAACTGCTTCCTTCAGCAGCTCCTTCACCTCCTACCGAGCAGCGCGCGTTCACTTCAGTGTCCGCCTCAGCTGTGCGCGCTCCCGTGAGCAACAGTTTCACTTTCCGAACATCACCGAGAGGCGGTACCGAAGGAGCGTTCGTGGGCAGTTCAACAGGAAAAGCTCTGATCGGTTATGAAAGAACATCCGCGTGTGTCGAAACCTGCTGCGTGACTCATATTTTGGTTTCTTCCCCCAGAACTTGATTTGGTTTTTTTGCGCGCCCGCTGGTTTGTGGATCAGCACCGAGGGTTCGGGTTAGGGAGGAGAGGAGGGCTTGTTGAGGAGTTTGGGAACGCTGCAGACCCAAACAGCAGAGGAGACGGTACAGTGCAGGAGTGCCTCACACAGTCCTGTTAAAAGGCCCGGTGTGGGTTAGGGTTCGGAACCAGCGTGCCAGGATTTTATTTTGCAGAAAAGCGCGCGACAGACGCCGCGCTGGCCACGCGTGGATCCGATGGACTTTCTGGAAGACAAGGAACTGCAGCGCTTTTTCCACGGCCATAAAACAGACCTGTCCCTGATGGAGAACCCGCAGACCTTCCTGAACAGGATCCGGGACTACAACCTGATCCCGGAGGACAGCTACAAGGTAAACCTACCGGGCGGGTCCCGTCCAGTCTCACTTCCTCGTCTCCTCATCCGGGTACTGGTGGGCAGAACGGGCCGCTGGTCTGAGAGCGGGAGCTAGATCCAGGCTCAGCAGAACACACCTGGTGTGTGTGTTGTCTCAGGTGGCTGCCATCCAGGTGAAACACACGACCCGTCCAGACTGATGGAACACACAGGAGACATTTTACAAGTGTTTTTATTCCCATAGTAACCAGTCAGGGCAGGATCACCCCCCAGACCTGTCTGGGACTGAACCTGGGACTGAACCTGGGACCGGACCTGGACCGGCTCCCATCCGTCTCCTCTCTGCACATTTTGGACTCAGTAGCTTTTAATAAACAAAAACTTCTTTATAAAGTCATTTTCTTGCCCTTATTGTCAGTGGCAGCTACAGACAGACTGAGCTTTAGGGTAAACTGTTCCATTTATTAAGGAAAAAGCAAAAAGAAAGCCCGGCCCAGATGCTAGAACAGTACCATCAGCGCCAACAGTGCTTCATGATCTTTTCTTAACCTCTTAGGACCCGAGCTCTCGTCTGATATGCATTTTTTAACCCTAACACTTCATAGTCACAGCTCCAAGCTGGTTTACCAGCAGAATCCCTTTTAACCAACCTGAGATATCTGCAACTTGTAAAAAACACAAGTTCAAGTCACCAAACAACCCACAGTCCAGTGAAGAAGTCCTGGATTTCTAACTGATGACTCTGTTTTAATCAGGACTGATGAATGAGCCGCGAGTAGAAATGTGAACGTTCATTAAACTAATTAAACTTCATCATAGGACACCAACCGTCTCCGCTGCTTTTCTTTTCATTCTGTGCAGAAGCTGAGTCGCATGAAGAGTAAAGAAAACCGGAAGAGACACCTTTACGAGTTCCTCACCTGGTTTGAGGAGAAACATCCGGATCGCATCTCTTTTTTCTGGAAGTGTGTCTTTCAAGAGCCCGTCCTGCACTGTTATCCCACCCTGCAGCGGCTGTACAGCCGCCTCCTGGACGGTGAGACGCTGATGTTTGAACATGTTTCTGCTTTTCTGTGATTGGATAAAATGATAAAGCAAAGGTCATCAGAACTGCATAATGCATTGTCTCTGCTTGAGGATGCTCTCAGAACAATTCTGTGAAGCTTCAGTTTATTGTGCAGCTTCTTCACAGTGCAGAAGACAGAACACATCTAATTAATATTCATATTAGTAATTGGCCCAAACGGCACCATTTCATCGTTTCGTAGGAAGGTTGCTCCAAGCATCTGAGGGGACTTGCCACGGTCCCGCTATGGATTTGGACTGATGCGCTACATAATTGGGGTTGCTGGTGACCCACTGTGTGGTCCTGGTTGGCATGGTGGGGTCCTCACGGACGTTATTAATGATTAATGGTGTCATTTCTATCAGCCACATTTAGTTTGCAGAGCGCATCACAATCTGCAGCTTCAGAGCAGTCTGTGGCGCCTCCGCTTCACTTCCTGTTATTCTTTGAACATACTGAGGTGTTCAGAGAAAGCCGAGCTCTTCATGACGACAAGTGGACGGCATGTGAAGATCAGGTTTCTGTGGGTCGTGTTGCAGAACTCCTTCTTCTTCTTCTCCTTCATACTGATGATAAGTCTTGATGATAAGGACAAAGCTGATGCCTGTTCCCAAACCCTAGACTCATGTGACTACACATTGTGACTAGAAGTGCATTAAGATGCTTATAGTAGGCATGCTGCTATTGACACAGGCGTTAATGGTGCAAAATGCACGCACTTAATGTGCACAGCTGCCCACATGAAGGCAAAATGCCACAAATATATATATAGAAGATTAATAACAAACAAAAAGCTACAGGCTGGTGGGAAGTCTGAAAGTACACAGCAAAAATAATAATTTAATAATAATCACCACGAGCCAAAGACATTTAAAACATAACTTGTGTTGAAATAGATGGTTGAAAATAATAATAAACTGAATTATCTGTTGGATAAATTGTGAAAAACTGCTAAAAGTGATGGATTAATGGTGAAAATATCCAACTGTGTTTCAGTCCAAGGGCAGTCCTATGAATGCAACGTAGAAGTGTCTAGACGTCCTGTGCCAGCAAACATGTCCTTGATGCTTACTGTGTTTTTGGCCTTTCATTTAATTGCAGGGTCTTTCCATTTTGCTGCACAATTCCCTGAGGAAGTTGAAAAGGAAGAGACGCACGGAAAGAAAAGGAAGGAGCTTTCCAACGATGAGGTGAAGCAGCCAAGCTCAGTGAAGAAGACGAGCAAGAAGAGACGTAAGACCAGAGGTGACGATGATGATGACGATGATGATGATGATGATGATGATGATGATGATGAGGAGCAGCCTGGTCCTTCATCCCAGCAGACTCCCAGTCAGAAGAAAAAGCCCCAAAAATTATGTTTCTGTAAGTCGCCTCTAACTTGTGTTTTAGTTCTATCAACATTGTTGTATTTTTCCTGAAAGTTGCAATGTGGCTCGGTTTAAAGTTGGACTCGGTTTAAAGTTGTGACTCAGTTTAAAGTTGGACTCAGTTCAAAGTTGGACTCAGTTCAAAGTTGTGACTCAGTTTAAAGTTGGACTCAGTTCATAGTTGGGCTCAGTTTAAAGTTGTGGCTGAGGTTAAAGTTAGGCTGAGTTCAAAGTTGGGCTCAGTTTAAAGTTGCGGTTGTTCTACTGGTCTCTCCACGGCAGACTTTACAGACGTGAGCTCTCGCCGACCACATGGTCAGATGTCAGACTGACTCCATGAATCACGGCATCTCGTTTGGAATCTTATCATCCAAACAACGTGATCCCATGAATGCAGCAGGTGGTAAATAACGGACCAACACAACAATCTGTGTTTTGAACAAGTCCATTTAGTGACACTTCACACTGCGAGGAAAACGTAGCAGCGTTCACGTCCTGCCGGCGTTGGTCATGCACCGCTAAGTCGGCCGAGCTTAACAGGCCCGGGTTCTGGTGAATCATGACTGGAGACAGGATCCACTGTGATCAACACATAGCATGCTTTAATGATTATTACGTCTTGAACAGTGTATACACATATCAGCAGCTTTATGCAAACTGTGAGTGAAGTAGTGGCAGCACAACACCCATCCCTACTCGCACCAGAAGTCTAGACTGGACTAGATCAGAAAGGCTCTACTGTCCCAGTTTGGGCAATTTGATTTGCAGCAGCAGTCGTCGTACACAGAAACATCACTGATGTGTCCTCTGACCATGTACGTAGCCTACAGCGCCTCAAGCTTATGTAGAAACCCTACAGCTGAGGGAACAGACGATCTGAGCTCTCTGTTTGATCTGGTCCTCTTAGGGAGGGGTTACCTCTTCCCAGAACCTCTAATCCAGAGGGTGGACTGGGTTGGCTCAGATCACCTCTGACCTCTGAATGGCTCTTACTGGATCAACATTGTCAAGCTGCTGCCGGCTGCTGCCAGCGGGCTTTTGGCAAAATGTCTGAAGACCCTACTGTTTCTAAGACCGAGCTGAGCCACAGCACAGAGGAAAGTCTGCTTGTCCTGCCAGTCTCTTTTGTTTGTTCACTGCCTGAACCTCACAGCCATTAGCACTGATTAGCACATAGATCCCACTCATAGACAAGACCTTCAAGATATCTGAACAGCTGACTGTTGGGGCAGCAGCTCCCTTCCAACCCAAAGACACATTTGGCCCTGCTGGGTCTCGTCTCAGTTATCTCATGCTTCAGGTCATGTTTTATTGAACTCAGAGAAGCACATCATCTGCTAGAGGCCATGCTGAAGCCCTCACACCAACCCTCTGGCCTCTGAGGTAGCGCCGCAGAAGCAGTGCCGAGGTCCCAGCAGAGGCCAGCGCCCACAGGGAACAGGTCTCACTTCAGCTTTATGTGGGTCATATCTCTGCAGGGATGTCAGGCTCTGTGCTTCATATCTCTGCAAGATTCCAGGAGGAAAACAGTCAGAAGAGTTCTCCTCCTCCACCAGACACTTGTGGACCAGACTGCAAAGTGCAACGCTCCAAATGTCGAGCTAATTTTTACGCAGCAGATTTGCTGCGAAAACAGGAAGGTCATTGAGCAGAATGTCTCAATCAGCAATAATTATTTTACTTTTTTTGTTTCCTAGCTTCTCCTTTAAAGAAGGGGGAGAAGGGTGAGCTGTGGACCTGGCCCATCTACAAGACCCAGCTGCCTGTGACCTGTGGAGGCGTGGCGGGAATGCTGAGGAGAGACAAACTGGCCCAAGGTCAGACTGACTGCATCAGGAGGGCTGAGACTTCATGTGGATTAATTAATTACAGAAAAACATAACGCGTTAATAAAAAGTAACCCATTAAATCGCACCTTTCTCAGCTCCCTAAGTTCTGGTGCACCAGTAACACTGATGCACACACTCCAGCCAGTAGGTGGCGCTAGTACACCTAAAGTTAATTTGCCAGCCACAGAGAAGATGCACAGGTCGCATCGAGTGGCGCACAAGAAAGTTTGGTGGACAGTGATGGAAGACGAGTGGCCGGGCTTTTTGGGCTTTTTTGGGTTTTTTTGTGAACTTCAGACGGCTGCTTGGATCAGAACACGGTGGTATGCAGTCAGAACTGTTAAGACAAAAGTCTGAAAATGTTTAATCTAATCGTGATAATTGCACTTTGACTTTGCTCTCATGTGAACGTGGCAGACAGATCAGAACTGAGCATGGTGTCGGGTCTGGTCGGGTCGCTGCGTGTCCAATCAGTGATTCAGTCGTCCAACAAAATTCCTTTGAATGGAAAAACTTTGCTTTTGGTGTCAAATGTTACTATTTGATAAAAACGTGATCAATTACAGTTAATTACAGAGCCTCTCGTTAATTAGATCAATTTTTATAACTAGAAATAATGTTTTTGTTGTTTCTGGTTCTGTGTCAAGCAGCAGTGAAGTGACAT